GGGGGGGGGGGGGGGGGGGGGGGTGTGGTTCTCAAGGTAATTAAATTGAGGTCACAAAGAACTTGTTTCATTCTTATCTTAATGCTGATAATTTAGAAAGACGAAGTTTCGCTTACATGATCTGCTGGGGGTTCCAGATGATTGAGTAGGTGTGGAAATTTCTGGTTGGGTCAAACCAGAGATAGAACTGTTGCTCTCTGTCCCCCTTCCCTTGAGTGAACACATTGGTGTGTAGAATATAAGGGTCACCAGTAAGGTTTCCCAAGAACTCAAAATCAATCTCATCGTGGGTGGGCCCTTGAGAAGATAACTGCAACACACATACATAAATTTATATTTAGATAGTACCTAGAAAGGGTTCCATTCTATTGACTATAAGTACAACGATTACAATTTCAATTTTAATTTAAATTTAAAGAGACTTTGCCCTCGCGGATGGTTGGGGATTGACCCGTATTCCAACATGATATAGCATTCTAAAAGCAAGTTCATAGCGGAATCTCAATTCGTGTCATATTATAATTCTCATCGTACATGTGTAAAAATATATGTAATATTAGGGAATTACGATATTAAGGTTTTCAGCGTAAACAAAGCAATCCTTTATGAAATGACTCAATATGATTGCATGGTAAACTTTGACCAAGCTTTTGAAGAGACTTATAAACGCAGGCTAAAAGAAGTATGTGAAAGTTTGCACTTCGATGGCAAAGTCTCTGCTTTTTTTAAAGGGCAAAGAGAGTCAAAATTCATTATTTGATCAACCCTACATTACATAATTTTAAGGCCACAAAGAAAAGTCATTTTTTTTGCCTTAAAGTTGCATTCGAAACATTCTTTAACTTGAATATGATAGAATTAGGTAAAGGGAAATTATAGATCATTCCCTTGTAGTTTGAACCAATATCATTTCACCTCTTGATACTTTCAAAATGATACGCAATCGACGATTCTTTGTGGTTTAAAATTATACAATAGTAAGTAGAATTAATGATGTAATATACTCTCTCCCTCTCCCTTTTCTTGGAGAGAGAGAGAGAGATTTATAAAGAAAAATAAAAACATAATATGCACAAGGTACAAAAATTATTTTGAGTTATTTTATTACAATTTGACATTTGACCTTAATTTTGACAAACTTAACGGTCTAAATTTGATCAAAATCCGGAATTGCGTATAAATTTATTAAATATAGGAAAATAGTATACCTATAATAAGTCAAAGCACGTGAAGATAATTTATAATTTGGGCATTAAATAAAAGAATATAAAGCATACGTAGTAGGCAGTAACAGTGCCAGCAGAGTTGCCAGCAACAAGTTTGAGTTGCATATCAATTCTCCCAAAGAGATACTCTTTTTTGGACTGGAAGCCAGAGCCTGAAGTCTTATCCAAAGAGAGGGAAAGCAGCTGCCCTCCATTGAATATCTTAGCTCTCCGATCACCCCAAGTTAAATCAAAGTCTTGGTAAAAGTTAGCACAAGTGGCAATCACCAAAGAGCTCACCACTAGACTAACCAACCACACCCCTGAAGACCCATTAAAGGACAAACCCATTTTGAGAGAGAGAGAGAGAGATTGTTTTGTGGTGAGTGGAATATAGGTTTTAAGGACATATATATATATAGGGAGAGAGGGAGGCGTCTGGTATAAAGAGAAGAAGGGAATGCTTGTGAAGGAGAGAGGGACAGAGACAAAGAGAGAGAGGAGGTGGGATGGGACGCGTGAGGACCCAACTGTAGGGGAATAAAGCTGGTGCCAGCTTTGCAGCCATGAAAGCTGGAACCTTAAGTATGGGCATTTGGGTGGTTTAAGATTTTTGGTTTTTTCCTAGGAGAGTTCAGAACAAATCATTCTGTCCTCTGGATATTGGGTATGGCCCTCCTTTGCTATGATTGGACCAGTCGGTGGATGCCAACCAGATTGTGTACTGACAAAAAATTACAAATCAAGAGTTACTTCACACCAATAGCTAAGTTTAAATATTTTGCATGTTAGTGTGAAATTTAAAGTTTTGTGTTTTAATCATAATTTTAAAGAATGTGTAATTAAAACGATTCTTTGATATCAGAAAAAAAAAATAAAAAGAAAATTAATCAGCATGCTCAGATAGAATGCTCGGATAAAATGACAGATGTATTGAAAATAAATCTCATAGTTGATGTTGAATTTTCTAATTAACCATATTTGGCGCACGTCTACTCGAGATTTACTTGACTCAATTATGAATCAGATTTTATGTTTACAAGTAAATGGGAAGTATAGATTTGAATTCACGATTCAAATCTTATGTTAGGTTGTCAAGCTTTTTATTGCTATGGTCACAAGGGGTGCCAACAGTTCGTAGTTTAATTGCCATTGAATTCGACCGTTGCCCTAGTATTGTATTTTTGTACAAGATAAAGTTTTGAATATGACTTCAACAATGACAACACCAAGAAAATACAGCAAATACTTGTTCGCTCCATGCCTTTTGATTAGGGGTGTCTTTGACCAGTTGATAAGAACTCAACACAAATTCGATACAAACGATTATAAATTGACACGATTATTAAATACGTATAATAAATAGTCTAAATTATTATTTAATATTCAAAATATACTAAATAAATTTTTTTTTCGAAAGTTTTGACACGAATAACAATGACACGACACCAATAACATGACATACAGATCACACGAACACGATATGATTGACACCCCTACTTTTAACTACTAATTAATTATATGGGAAGAGTTTAGACAAAAAAAAAACAAAATTTGGTGCAACGGGGCTTCATTATTATCTAGACATCATATATTAGAATAAAAAACAATGATCTTTTCATTTGTGGTGATAAAATTATGTATATCAAATCCTACTAGATGTGTCGCGCTAGGAACCTCCTAGACTTGCTTGTTTTTCTTCCGAATTTGGACAAAAGAGATATAGGTGCATGCATATGTAAATGGCAATGAGTGTTTGAAATCCTTGAAACTGCCACTTTTAGGATTACTTTCATCTTCATCTCTTGCCAGTTAGTTTCTGCAAATATCTCTGCACCCGTACTTTCACCAAACGTACAACCTTAGTCTTCAAACCAGATGGTCCAACAAGGTGACACTGCGCATGGAAGATAACAGAAGCATGGGGGAATGTAAGGAAAGCCATGGCCCTCCCATACGCCACCCATATTTTTCAAAATATATAGAGAAAGTCCAATTATTAACCAAAATATTGGAATACCCATTTTTATACGTAAATGACACAAACTATCACTATTGTTTACCCTTTTTAACCCTATTTCCTAGGGTTTAAAATAACAATTAGTTTCGGTTGATAAGTTAATATTGAACACAATAGTGACAGTATGTTATCACTGTTAAATAATATCATAATCTAATAATAACACAATTAAATAGATAAAGTGAACCCTCCACTACTTTTATCCGAGGTAGTTATTAGATTTTTTCGGATAATTATTAAATTATATAAGATCTACTTGCTCATTTATTATTTTTCTATCAGGTAGTGATAACATGTGATGATAATGATAAAGTGTCACCGTTACATTGAATTTTTTCTTGCGACACAATATAATAAAACTAAATGCTGAAGATAACTTGTTTTGATCTTGATTGTTCATTTTTTATGTACAATTATTAGATTAGCATCTACTATGCTATGTTTTAATGACTTCTAGTCCTATGACCATGACCTTTGCATATTCGACCACTCACCTACTTACTCAACAAGACTTGTAATTAAACAAAATGGTAGGTTAGTGGAATGTTTGGTCATGCATTTGTTAAATCCAATGTTCATCATTCCAAAACAAATTAATTCTAAGAAGAATAAAAGTTCTATTTCAGTGAGTGCCGTCTCCATAATGCAAAGAAAAAAGCAGCGGTAATTAATTGGATATGCATCTCTTTAATCACAGCAATGTCTTTTTTCATTTCTCCAAGCTGTCATGAAGTTGACACATGCAGACAAGTTTTAAAGTGCAGCAGTGAAAGCCACTGTATGTCACCCATCCCTGCTTTGGTTTCTTGCATAGGATACATACCCATATCAGCAAGGATCTGCATAACACATAGTTTAAAAAAGTTTTTCTTTTATGGTGGGCTCGGTGGGCACCACTCGAGAAAAGTTAATGAGATTTTGTACGATCAACAATTGGGTAAATTAAGCTTTTTATTCTTAAACTATGCCAATTCACTTACTTGATTCCGGATTGGTAGAGTATCCCAAATTGCAGCTGGAATGGGTTGGGATTGGTTTGGTAATACAGACACAGACGAACTATAAATTCATACGTCATGAATTTAAATTTTGGTAATTATTTAAGGTCAGATTATAAAGAATTTATTTTTCACGAATTTTTTAGTGCCGGTATAGATGATCTGCCTTTAGCCGGACTGAAAAAAAAAATTAGTCGAAATACATAAAAATTAGGTCAAACACCCTTAACCGTTGAATAAAAAAAAAAGCGAGTGCGAGGTCTTAACCTAATTACCAGTAGAATGAGCAAAGGTCAAATGATAAGAGCTTGTTTATAACTAAATAATCTATATAAAAAGATAGCTAATATTTTGAAAATTTTTACCACATTTTTCATGTCATTTCTATCACATCACCTATTTTTATCATAAGTTGAATAATTTAATTAGACATTGTTTATGTTTGATACTACACACATATTGATATTTTTTGAGCGCATGTATTTTGAGAAAAAAATTTCAATTTTTTTTTAAATAATAATTAATACAAATTAATTTTAAATTATGTAATTAAAGAAAAAAAACAGTTGATCCAATGAGGATCATTCTACCGTTGTTGGTGAGTTCGAACTTATTTGTCACCTTCCCTTTTAAATATTGATGAGAAAAATTGTATAGGGTACTTTGGCCACAAAACATTTATGCCTCGACTGTAGGACTCTAGAATTAATCCCTACTTGATTTAGGTGTAGGGGAAATTACATTTTACCCCTTCTACCACTACGCAAATTTTCAAGTCATTCCTCTTAGATCATGCTATAACTTTTTAATGAATTATTGGTCCAATAATTTATGTCTAATTCCTAAAAAATTATCTCACTTTGTGCCCCCGAATTAAAGCAATTTTATTTTATTGTGTCTTGCAACGTGAACATTTTTACCCAAAAAGTTAGTAAACGCAAAATGAAACTAATTCAAGTAGCTGAATAGAGAATATGTGAAATCCCATAATGAAAGGGGCAAAATGAGATACAAATCATAGTTGAGGGAGTTAAAATATAAATTACCTAATTTTTGAGAATTTTTAGCACACGTGCTTTTGGGAGCTCAAGAATAAACAATAGTAGAAGACCAAGGAAGTAGGAAAGCAGGCCATGAAAGTATATTTGGTGTTCTTTATTTTGGGTAGGTATTTGTTTTTCTTTTTTTTTTTTTTTTTGGGGGGGGGGGGGGGGGGGGGGGGGGGGGGTTGTTTGT